AAAGGAACATTAGGGTGTCCCAAATAACTTGAGGTGTATAGAATACCATAAGAAAGGGAACTGAAAGATCCAATTCATTCACAAATAAGGACACCGAACCATGTGCCAGGGTTCCCAGGGAAACAGAAGCAGTAGAGGTGTGTGTGCGTCTTCTTGTGTGTTGTGTGCACGTGTGCACATGTGTGTGCATATGCATGTGTGTATATACAGCCAGTTCTCCACGTCCATGGCTCCATATCCTTACATTCAACCGACGACCGAACAAAACACTCAGAAAAATAAAGCTGCATCTATCCTGAACGTGTACACATTTGTCTTGTCATTATTCTCTAACTGATGCAGCCTATGTACACAGCAAGGTGACTTACCTGTGTGCAGGCTACAAGTCACATAAGGGACATGAGTGTCCCTGGATTTTGGTATCCCCAGGCAGTGCTGGAACCCGTCCTCTGTGGATAGCAGGAAGGACATAGAGAGAGGGACTGAGAATTCATGAGAGGCACTGGCTCACTCTGTGAAGGCCAAGGAGCCCCACAACCTCCATCTGTCAGCTTGAGGCCCAGGAGAGGCAGAGGCAGAGGCTACAAAACCACGAGGGCTGACTGCCAAGGTCAGGAGAAGAGGGACGGGTGTCTGAGCTCCCCAGGAGAAAGAGGGTATGTCCTTCCTCTGCCTTTTTGTTCTTGGGACCCTCGAGGCACTGGACTAGTCGGCCGATCCAAAGCTCACCTCTTCCAGAAACACCTCACAGACACACCGAGAAAGTGTGTCAACAGCTCCCCGGTGCGCCTCACCCAGCACAGTCAACACGGGCAACGAAACATCACAACCACCCAAGGAAACGCCAGCGAGTCAAACTGAACAAGGTAATTTCTGAAAGGATACATCTGTAACCCAGAAGATGAAAACGGTTAATGAAACGGTTAGCACTGGGAAACTCAGAAATGTAACTCACTTTAACAGTTTCTTTTCTTTTTCTTAATGTAGCCCTAGATAACAGTCTCTTAAAAGAGGAAGACACCGACCATTTGGCAGAGCAGGACAGAGAGCCGGGCAGCTGAGGGACCGTCTCGGGAGTGATGCCTCTGTGGAGCCCTGCAAGGATGCAGGAGTCACGTGGCCTCTCAGCACAGGGAAGCCAGGGCCCTCGGGCTCTTTGAAAGGCGGCATGAGGCAGACTCACAGGTGCTTTGGCCCTGCAAGGCCTTCCCATCCACGTCCAGCTTAGGGCCACTGGGGCCCTTGGGGCCTCGGGTGCGAGGGGCAGCATCAGACTTGGGCTTGAAACTTGAGTGATTTGGGGGTTACTTTTTACCAGTCCTACAGTGGCTGAGCGCCTCTATGTTTATCCCCTTGATCCCAGGCAGCCCTGGCCACTCCCTAATGGGCAGCAGGACTGTCAATACTTGGAAATTGAGTGCCACTTGCAGTGGCCAGGCCTCCCTCAGCACCAACCACAGTAAGAAGCACATAGAGTCAGTGAGGGGAGCATGGGACCAGGAAAGCAGGGCTTGTTTGCAGGGATTGGAGGACACCCACTCAAAGCTCTTGGGAGTAAGGCACAGTCACCAAGCACATCCGCACTACGACTCAACACTAGATACACGTGGCTGTGAGCAGGGCAGCTCCTGGACCCCTCTGGGCCTGCTGCCCTCCAGATCCTGGTCTCCTGCATCATGGCACCTCTGTTCTGCCTCCCTTCACATATCCGCATCCTATGTAAATCCAGCCCTGGGCAGGGGCAGCCTTTCAGAAGGGGAGGCCTGAGGCCTTGAGATGGGGCCTTGCACCCTGGAAATGACTGGGCAGTACACAATCTATCCATTAAGCCAGAAGCATCCACCCCTCCCTGTGACAGCAGACACTGCCCAGTGTCCCCACGGGGATGGCAGACCCTGAGGGAGAACCGCTGAGATAAGAAGTGGGACTGGACTAGGGATGGAGTCAGGCTGCAGTTATGTGTGGCCAGTTTCTTGCAAGAAGCTACAGATAGGCACTGACCAAGGTGAGTCTAGGATCTCTGGCCAGGAGGCCGGTGGCCTGGGGTTCAGTCCTGCTCCCACCACACTGAGCTGTCAACCTCAACTAAGCCCCAGCCACCAACTTCGATCAGTGAGAGCTGCCAAGGGCCTGGCACTCTCACCAAGGAGCTGTCAGAAGATTCCATAAACTGGGCACGCCTGTAAACCTAGCTACTCAGGCAGAGATCAGGAAGATGGTGATTTGAAAGCAGCTTGGGCCAATAATTCACAAGATCCTGTCTGAAAAAAACCCATCTCAAAAAAAAAAAGTTCAAACCTCAGTACTGAAAAAACCAAAAGAATCCACAAAGCCCGCCTGGCAGACTGTCACAGCACATCACAGAGTTGGGGCACCCAGTGGGTAGGGACAGAGGAGAAACATGGAGCTGCAGAGGTGGAGCCTCTCACCACTACCCTGCCTGGTGAATACAGCTCCATGGCTGCAGAAGGGGACATGGTTTCTCCACCTGGCCCCTAGTGGCTTCGTGGTAGACCCAGGAGTAGCCCACTAATCCCCACCCCCACCCCCATGTGTCTCTGCCAAAGCCCTACTGTTTTCAGGGGTTAGATTCTAGCCACTGTCCCATCTCAATAGCCCCTGTAGGAGGAGGGAGCAACATGTTCCCTCCAGTGTATGCCACACCTACCAGGGCACCTGTAGGCCCTGCCCCACCTGCACATCTGCCATCCACACTCGTGGCCCAGGTCCAGGGCTCGGGTCCTGTGCTCACCTTGGATTCCATCTTCACAGCAGTCAGGGCTGATGCAACTGGATGTCCTGCAAAGCAACCCCAGTGTGTGAGGGGAGAGACAGGCAGGGAGACAGAGAAAACTGCATAAAAGAGCAGGCTAAGTGCTTTCCTGGGACATTCCCAGACTCTCCCCGAGCTCACACTTACGCCCAATGCTCACAGATGCACTGGGCACTCACACGAGTGAGCACTCACATACCTACATGTGCCCGGTGCTCACATGCACACACACGCACACACACGCTCACACACGCTCAGTGTTGTGAAGCCCCGGAGGTCTAGGGCATGAAGGGCCAGGCATTTGGGGTCATGCTTCTGCCCCATCCCTGCTTAGCTGCTTCACAGGTGGGAACTGGTCCAAGAGGGAGAACCCGTGAGAAGCCCAAGTGGTTCTGCCCATAGCTGCAACTGTTTAATGTGGTTCCAACTCGCTGGTGTATTATCCAGGATTTCAAAGATCCATTAGCAAAGGACAATCCTGCACGTCTCCGGTTTCCATCTGAATCCGCTCCAACATCAGGTCCTCTGCCAGGAAGCAAAGGTATGCGCACACATGCACACGCACATGCACACCTTGAAAGGAACTGCCAAGACCATTCCCCTGATGCTCTTCCACCAGCCCTGAGCCAACAGAAGAGCTGAGCCTCCAGGGCACGGTCCACAGACCTACCAAGCTCAGCTGACTTGTGCCACCTGTGGGAAATCCCAGGCCACCCCAGGGCAGAGGCTCCACCCACACCACATTGGGTGACCAACTGCCCCTTTGGGCAGGCCTGGGTGGGATGGCACAGGGATTTGCGGCTGACTGCTGCTCACCAGCCTCAGGATGGCCTGGTGCTGTGGGCCCCAAAGCTCCCTAATTCGCCTCCCCTCCTGACATATGCCTATCCAATGCCACACAGGGACTGAAAGGAGGACAGCTGAGGGTTCAGCATGTGCTGGGCCAAGAGAGCCTAAGACAGGAGCCCGCCCAGGGAAAACGGGCGTGTAGGACAGGAGTAGCCTCGTGGGCACACAGGGAGCTGTGTCCCCTTCCAGCAAGCTAAGGCGGGAAGGGACACGATTGCTCATCTTCATGACTGTAGGCAGAGCCGGATACAGGTATGCATAGCTTGGTAAGTACAGCTGGATGTTACTGTTTCCATAACCGTCTCATAGACTAGTAAATGAAGGCCCAGAGAGGCCGCCTACCTGGCCCAGGCCACACAGCTGCCGGAGTCCGAGCCAGGCTGAGTCCCAGAGGCATCCCACTGCACCAGGGTAGCAGCACACTCCCTCCAGCTCATCCACAGCCACTGGGCAGCTCGGGGCAACCAACGAGAGGCCACATCTTAGCCTCTTCCCAGACGGAGCAGGAGCAGTGTCGCATCGTGCACCTGTCCTTCCTTCCGCCTTCCCTTAAGCCCTGCTTGCAGTACACCAGCTTGCCAGACAGTCAGCAGCTGGAGGGTGGGTTTGCTGCTCCTTCTGACAAACAGTCCACTTCTCACTCTCCTCCCTTGCCAGGCTGCTCTCTGTGCCCGTCCCTGCTACTACTCTTGGCAAATCTTGCTCACAAGCCCCCATCTTCAGGCACCTGCTCCTCTGGGTGGCCCACTTACTCATCTGTCTCGGCCAGGCAGGGAGCCCTTGGGTGTGGGCAACCACATCCCAGAGCCCAAGCTCAGCAGTGAGCAAGGCCCGCCTGCTGGCCCAGATCTGTCTCGGCCAGGCAGGGAGCCCTTGGGTGTGGGCAACACATCCCAGAGCCCAAGCTCAGCAGTGAGCAAGGCCCGCCTGCTGGCCCAGAGCAAGGGGAACGCACAACAGTCACTTTGCTACCATTCCACTGCCCCCTTGCAGCAGTGGTGACAGCATACTTCAGGACCGCAGAACCTCACATTCTACTGGCTTCTCCTGGTGACAAGCCACAACACTCACTCAACTGCTGTACATCTGTAACTGAAAAATGCCAAGTTCCAGTTACAGGTTAGCAACCACACAAGTCTCCCACAGCCAAGTTCAGTCTCCTGAATCCTGCCACAGACTCCCAGAGATCAGAGAGAGAAGGGAGGAAAGGGCGAAAGAAAGTAGGAGAAAAGTGCTTTCCAGGCAACACAAGACCCCAAAACACGGCTCCTGATGTGGTGATACAGTGCCCACACCACCTGCCCACCTCCGGTCAGCTCTGTGGCAGACAACAGCGGCTTATATGAAAACACAAGAAAAAAACACTGCAGAGGAGGGAAATATAGAACTTTATTTTTATCACAGTAATTAAATTCTACTACAGAAGAGGGACGCCATAGGGTTCTCTTGTTTTTCATTTAATAAATACAAGTGGAATAAAAATACTTTTGTTTTGTAAAGAGACTGCCTCTCCTCCCCCATCTCCCATGGAAGCCTATGGAAAACCACGCCCCCTGCAGCCAGCCTGCAGGCATGGCCATCTACCCCACAGACCACTTCTTGTCACTCTGTGGAGAGGGACACACTCATTTGTGCCTGCAAATACTATTCAGGTGCAACACCTCTCCTTCTCCACCCTCCCAAATACAAGTCTTCATACTGAACTTCAAATTTTAAACTCCTCCCTTCCAAGAAGAAAGAAGTGGTTTCCACAGGAGCTGAACATGGAGCCTGGACCCGGAGTTGTTAACAGCATGAAATGGGAGGTTTCAGTGAAAGGTGACTGTCCACTGGACACATCCACAAAGGGAAGGAGAAGGACAATGTGAAGTGAAATCCATCGCCTGTCTCACACTGTCCTTTATTTTTAAAAACAGAGCCATTTGTTTAATTTGTGTTTGGAGCAGGCCAAGTGTCTGCTTCAGCATGCAACAGAGCTGTTATTGCTGTGATGTGCTCTGGGTGGCTGCTGCTCAGCTGGTCTGCTGATGGAGACACCCAGACTGCATCAAAGTCACAGCATGAAAAGTGCTCCCTGCATCTGGGGAGCAGGGCCCAGTTCAAGGTAAGGTAAGGCACACCTCTCTGCTCTGAGTAACTAACAGCAGATCCCTCCATGGTGAAGAATGACTTTGTGTTCAATTCCTGGTGCAACCACGACGTACACTACAGAACCTGAGGGCTTCCCAGTTTTCAGATGGAAAAAGAACTCTTGCAGGCTCACTAAAACCGTAATGATCTCCCTGCCTGCTCTAGGGAGGGAGCAATAGTGTGGCCATGGACACAATCCCCTAAAATGCGGCCAGGAGAAGCACTAGTCTTGATGGCCAGCAATAACCTTCCGTTCTATGTCCCCGGTTCTCAATAACCCATTTATCAACATTTCCCAACAATGCATCTCGGGGTGATGCTGTAACCACGCTGTAAGAACAAGCTCTGATCATAAGACATGAAATGAGAAGTTATGAATGCCTCACGGGGCACATGGGAACTGGAAGTAGGGAACAAAAGGGCCAGCAAAGAGTGTGCAGCCCCTTCCCGCTGCTTTTACACGTGGCCCCAAGTCTTCAGAAGGAGCACTGCTGGAAGCCAACCATCCATGGGAGGGCTGGCCTGTGCGGTCCTCAGTGCTCCAGGGAGAGGAGCCACAGGCCATGCTGCTGAAAGAAGCCATGAACCAGGCCATGGCTGGGAGAGGTAGTGATGACAGCTTGGACGACCTACCTGAAACCCTGCGAGGAGGAATACTTTAAAACTGCAGTAAGCTGTCATTATTTACACGAGTCACATTTCAGAAGAGAAGCGTGTTTGGGTGAAAAGGGAGGAAACGACAGGTGCTGTGTCTCTGCGGGTGGGCCTGTCTTGGTGCAGCACAGGGCAGCACCGTCACTGAATGCTCTGGAGGAGAGTTCTGGACTGCTCCGCAGTGTGCGCATCTGTGGGCGGGCATGGGCAGTCTCAGAGCCCCAGAGACTTCTGCACGGTCTGCTTGGCGATCTTGTAAAAGCGCTCGCGGTCATCCCGCCACATCTTGGAAGCATCCACGTTGGCTCCGCTTTCGTCGTTGGGCTCTGAAAGGAAAGGGAGCGCCGTGTGTAAACGGTCTTGACTGTGAGCCACTCGGCAAGAGCCTCCACTTCACTGAAAACGACAGTGAACTTTGCAGCGGCACTCTGGGGAAAGAAGTGGTGCTTCAAACAGACAGGGGCCTTCTTACCTAAGGGAGGGAGGCCGGGAACCAGGTGAGGAGGGCACAGACCTTCAGGTCAGCAGCTCCTCCTGCCAGTGACATGGGGCACCTCCCTTGTGTGGACAGGGGCCCCTTGTTCCACACACTTCAATTTCGTCTCTTGCCTGAATCTTGCTCCCTCCATATTCCGATCCTGGAAACAGCTCCCCAGTGCTCACATAAGAAGTACGAGTCCGTACACACCAGTGAGGCAAGTCTAACATCCTGTACCTTCAAGCCCTTCAGATCCCACCGTGCTCTTGGCTGGGACATACAAAGCTACTGGGACAACCTACCGACCAACCAGGCTTTGTTTCTCTGCCAAATGCTACAAGGATGGTCTTTCTAAGGCACAGCTAATGACTTAGCCACTGAGTTTCCAGGGCGGCTGGGGCTACTGCCCAGCTCCTCCCAGTCTCTAGACTTGGCTTGTGCCAATTAAGTCTGACTCTCACACAAATGCCTTTCCCTCTTCCCTCCTTACACATTGCCTTCTAATGTCCTAATTCACTCTAGAAAGGGGTTGGAGCCTGTGGTTGTCTGTATGTCAGGATGTACCACATAGGCAACTGTCTGTGGCTTTGGAAATTCCCCAGGGGCATGTGAACTTCAAAGTTGCTGCACTGAGCCTTATACCCCTCAGAGTGTAATAAGCAGGATTCCAGTAAATACCTACCGAGTGAACAAATGCCCACACATTGGAGAATGACTAGTCATGGTCAGCAATGTGCTACAAACACTAGACTGTCCTTAAAACCTACAACTATGGAAAGTACACTTAACATGGAAAAGCATACACAGTAACATTAAATGAAAATGGTGTGCCTAAACTAATGACAAAGAAGGAAATGAATCATCAGGTCAGATGGGACGAGGAACAGGAACAGATGCCATGCTGGCTTGCAGCCGGCCAGTCCACATAGCCACACAGTGCTTTACCTGCAAGCATGCTCACCACCGACAGCAGGATCTTCTCCACGCTCTGCACGGGGCTCCATCTCTCAGCACTACTCTCGTAGCCCATGGGGTCATCACCAGGAGCATGCAGGATGGAGATGCAGACTCTCCCATCAGGGTAGACTGTGAAGGTCAGAGGTAGCCAGGTGAGCCCATGAATGGTGCCCAAGGCAACACAGCACTGGGGCAGACTCCATAGATGGAGAAAAAGGTTGCAGACACAGGCCCAGCTGTTTGCACAGCTGGAGCAGGACTTGCACCTGGGTGTCACATTTCACACTGGCACAGTTCCCGGTGGGACTTACAAGCTGCAGGCCAGGCCTGTCAGGGCCTCACAGAGCCCTGTGCTCACTCGCTGGCATGGGCTCTGGGCTGGCCCATCTAGCTCTAACCAGTGGTAGTAGGATTCCACTTACTTAGGGATCTCTTTAAGCATTACCTCCAAAAGAAGTGAGTAAAAGTTGATCTGCAAATACTTCAGCACAATATCTAAAGTAACCAGGATTATTCACGATACTTTTCAGACATTCTTACTTCTATCATCAAAACCCTGTGTAAGATATATGCCCGAATCGATAGGATAAAGACATCTGGAATCATTTAAATGTCCAAAAAAAGAATGGCAGTGAGATTTTGCTTTTCTCTCAGTAACTTAGCCTAACAGAAAAGTGACCAATAGCACTGTCTGGAAGTCATGAGTCCATATCCATCCCCTCCCTGTCAGGTACTGTTACTAACAAGACACAGAGACTAGGTTGAGAGAAGCAAGTCCTCAGTTGGGGAATCCCCTCAGATGGTTTGATAAACACTCAGACCCAAGACAGTACTCCATCAGGATAGAATGAGGTGTGAATTATAAAAACATTAAAGTCACAAGTGATGATTAAAAGTAAACTTAACTGCTTTCTGTCTGCCCACCTGCTGCCTCCTGCCCTCTCTCTTCTGCCCTGGCCATGCTCCGCAAAGTCCTGACCCTCTCCGCCTTGTGTGCCCTGGCTGTGGCTTTCCCCACACCACCCCCAGCTCCTCTAGACTCAACCAGTGAACTAGACTCAACTGGTGAGCCAGAGTTTACAACTTATGTGGAGATCACCTCTGAAGTGGTCTTAAGCACGGCTGTAGAGGTAACCATAGATGGGAGATTCAACCACGGACCCACAGCAGACTGCAAACCCAGAGACCACCACAGACGTGTACGAGTGGGACACACACACTTTTGAATTCTCTACTGATGTCACGATGGCCACCTCCAGCTTTGTGGATGAAACCAGTGAAGCCACAGATCAGATCAGCACCTTCACAGAAAGCAATGAGTCTGCGACCGTGTATCTTTAAAATGAAGCAAAATCTCCATTAGCTGTGACCTGTGCTATCCACCATTTTCTACTGCTATACTACAGTACCCAGCCGAGGAGAAATGACAAGGCAATGATCCTGGGTGGGTGCTGTGAATTGCACCTAGAAGGCAGAGGCGCATTTTGTAGTTCTGTCCAATTTATTATGAGCTTAATAAATACTCACTGACTGCAAAAAAAAAAAAAAAAAGTAAACTTAAGTTGCCTTAACTCACAAGTGTACAATTTCATGAAAATCTAGAAATGTCAGTAGTTTCCTTTACCTCCGAATGGCCTCTAACACCCATTCATCTGTTCCCAGTGGTCACTCCTCCCTGGCTACCCATGAACTGTGCCATCAATTCTTGTTTAAGGAAGAGCTTGAGGAACTAGGTAGACACTTGTCCTGGACCCAGGAGTCCACCTACATCTACAGCCAGTGTCCCTGTCAGCAGTCGTCTCTTTCACCAAGGTCTGCTTGCTACACTTCCCACACTTCTTCTGAATCCCCATGTCACATCTCTGCTTTCATTAGTAACCTTTTTCAATCAGCAAAGCATAAACATTATTCCATAGCATTAAAACTCTTGTTTCATGTACATTTATTTATTTGTCTACTTTTGAGTTGGGGGTCTCACTCTGTTGCCCAGGCTGGTCTCAAACTACTGGGCTCAAGCAATCATCTCACCTGAGCCTCCACAGAAGCTAGGCGACTGGTACACACACCACCACACCCAAATTTAAAAACTAGTTCAGATCATCGTTAATGTCTGTGTCACATTCTAACACACACAGTTTAGTTAGCACTCTGCTGTGAAGTTTAGATTGACGACAGTTTCTCCACCACTAAAAATAATTGTGACAAGGGCCAGAGTAGTTGACAGAGTACCTGTCAGGCCTAAAATTCTAGTAACCCCACTAACGTAGGAGAGCTGGGAAAAGGGCAGCCAGTTTCAGATGCATATTTAATCTACTTAAGGTGACCTTCAAAACTGAGATCATGGTGTAATACCATGACTGATTTGCTATGGTACAAAACCAGAAACACAGACATCTGCATCAAGCATTGACCATGTGACCTCTAAGCTGCTCATTACTGAAGCAGTGTGTCATAGGTTGCTGTATGACTCTGCACCTCCTATTGCCAGGACAACCATATTCAGAAGTACCAAGGCATGACGATTCACAACTGTAATCCCAGCACTCTACAGCTAAGAGGATAACAAGTTCAAGGTCAGCCAGGGCTACAGATCAAGACCCTATTTCCAAAAAAAAGAAAAACCAAGTACTTACTGTTGGGATGGAACATCTCACAGGTGAATCTCATCTTCGGAGGACTCAGTGGGTAGTCAAGTGGGAAACTGAGGATGGCAGGAAAAACACCAAACTCAAAGCAGGTGTCTTCCGGGCCCCTAGAAAATGGGAAACATGAGACAGAGCTTCACAAGGCTCTTTGCAATGCTACCACAATCTAGAAGAGAGACAGCACACACGAAGATTAAACAATGAGCTGAAAGTATGTCTTGTCCTCCTGAAGCAGCTGGTTTAAATCTTAGGTACAACAAAGACTCAAGTGCAGGTGGCTCTGTGTTAATGAAAGCAGCGTCGGCAGGACAGCCTCTGCAGCCTGAGAAGAGAACGCAGGAGCCTGCTTTCCTGCACATGTGGTGTGGGTGACGTGAGGCTAAAGGTATGGATTACTGCAGATGTTAAGAGTGTACGATATGGACACAAACAGTGCTTAAGAGTTCTATTTCAAAGGTTGTTTTGAACCTTTAAACCATGCCTTCAAGCAGCGTACGATCCCTGGCCTGCATGGACACATTAGGACAGCCAGGCCCAGTGTGGTGTGACCTCACTTCACCTGTGCCACAGCCCTCAACAATACCAACACTTGTAAGTCACCTCACAGGCCACTCTCCTCACATGTAAATGGCAGAAATGGGCCAAACCATTTCAGACTCCAATTCTAACATCCTCAGTTTTGACCAAGACCTAAAGGCACAGGAGCCCCAGTGACAGCTGCCAGGAGAGGCAGATCCTCCCCTCTAAATTTCACTAATGGGACATGCATCGGTGTAGTGACACTTGGACTTTTTTTAACATGTGCACTCAATAAGCCCAACTGCTGGCTAGCAGCTGCCAACACTGACAGAGGAGAGCCACCTTGAACATCCAGCATGTCCATAACGAGGAAGAAGCTGTGTGCTACTCGAGCAGCGTGAGAGAACAAGGCCCCTCAGGACAGCCTCTTAAACCAGGAGTGTTGCACACACCTGTAATCTCAGCTACTTGGGAGGCTGTGACAGGAGGGCCGAAAGTTCAAGGCCAGCCTGGGGCAGCTCTGTGAGACAGTCTCAGAAAGAAACAGAAGGATGGGTTGGTGGATAAATATACATATTTTAATAAAATAAACAGCTTTGCCTCCCTCTCAACAGCATCCCTGAGACAGGACACCTCCATCACAAGAGCCAAGTCCTAGACTCTCACAGTGAGAAGGGATCAATACTAGACCTAAGGCAAATCCAAGATAGTGCACAGAAATGAAGAAATACTGACTCTAAAGAAACTTCACTTTAAAAATACGTATCTCTTAAAAGTACAAACTTGTTTAAAATGCTGGTGAAATGACTTAGTTCAGGGACACTAATACAGAGCTGTGAAACACCAGATGCAGTGCTTGCCTCCATAATTGAGGGAGAGAGACAACAGCTAGCTTAACTCACTTGGTATCCACACGAAGGGTTTCATAAGAACAATACAGTAAGTGTTTGTGAAGTCAATTGTTTTCAACCTAAGTGACAAACCTTGACTCTGAAAACTGTCCTGCTACTTTTTTGGGAAACGACAGTGAATAGCTCCTTTGTTTGGAAAGATGACCTGATGTTATGACAGCCCATGGGGCCTTGGCCTGAGACCAGGGCAGGGGGTGCTACATGAAGAGGCGGCAAGGGAAGATGAGCTACTGGCATAGTGGCACCTCACGAGGGCAGTGGTGCCGCTGCTGGACAGAGGGCAGCCTGGCAGGAGCACACAGGGAAAGGCTTCAGCCTGGGGTGTTCTGCTCTTCTGCAGTGGCCTGGCCAGATGCCTGGAGCCTTGCCCTCTACACACAAGTGCATGGCCACTTTGAGTCTCCAGTCCAGCACTAGGGCTGCTGGCACAGAGTACCTCTGCTAGCACTCCACACATCTTCTGAGGAAAGGGTGTCAAGGACTGCTGCTGTCATCTTACTGCTGAGTAGAGCTGGGAAATCAAAGCGTACGTGACTTAGTCACAATCCTAAGTCAATTGAGTCTGGGAGTTCAGAGTTCAGGACAGAATACAGTTCAAACTACACAAGGTCGGGCAAAGACACTACCTTCAAAGTAACACCGTTAATATGTCAGATATGCTTGCCAGTGTCTATTTCTGGCACCTGAGTCCAGAGTAAGAAAAGAATGCCTCGGTAGTATCTCTGGAATAAGCCACATTCTATTTGCTCAGTACTTTGATAACAGTTCTTTGTTTCTCATACTGGGGCTTTCTTTCAATTAAAAAAAAAAATTCCCTGAGTTGTTGGTAGCCTCAAAAGCATGACCAAACATTTCCTAAAGTGTGCCTACATCTTAAATATCAAAGGTATTTGCAAATGCTCCAACTCACTGCTGGTTTGAACTGGGGTTCCATTCTCTTTTCCGGAATGCCCCGGCATTTGGACAGGTATGCAGGCGGGCAAGGTGTGCAGTAGCACACCTGCTGACTGCGGAAAGCACCACTGAAAGAATTCCTGAGCAAGGACAGACAGAAGTAGCAGAGCTTTTGGACAAGTTTTCCTTTTGTACTTCTGGACCACCTCACTTCCTTCACTAAGATGCTCAAAAGAACAAAGGAGGAGACAAAAGAACCATTCAAAGCAATACAAATTTTTCAAAGCCCACAAAATGATTCTCCATTTTACTGATTCACTTATGTCAGAGCTGAGATGAGGACTAGCCAAGCTTTAGAGTAAGGCACCAAAACCATACTCTGCACGGGAAACCCTGTTTCAAATTCCTCCAGGTGAATTAGAAGTGAAAGACAGCAACACCTGCCGGTGATTAGTGGCTCTCTCACCTGACTAATGGCCTGCTGCCTCCCCACCTGTCCTCTAGAGTTGCTGCATCAAAATCATGTGTTAGCAACACCCTGGCAAGTATCAAACTCAAGCGAGAAACTCTTTTCCCTTTGAAGACACCAAGGGCTGCAGAGAGGCCTGCAGCAGGTGGCAGGAGGGTCTGAGTGGCTGATTGAGCACTGGGGCCTGCCTGGAGACAGCCCCGTGCTGCAAGGCATGCCAGATCAGTGTGACCCCAGGGCCAACAGATGTTGGAGAAACTGCTTTGCATTCTCTATGAGTGTGCCATGGCACATGGACAGACTGTCTCACGCACAGGTACCACAAGGTACTAATAATGGCAATTCTAAGTGCACTCACCAGAACACAGAGCAGGTGAACTGCAGTTCTGAGGGAGGATCATTCTCCCCAGGTGGGGACTCCTGAAGCACATAAAGGGAAAGGGGCTGCTTCATGAAGGCCCTGTGGGCTCCCCCTGGAGCATCCAGAAAAGGGGTCCTGAGGCCACTGAAGCCTCATTGATCTCTCCAGGCAGCTCCCCCCACACCTGGCAGTGCTGGCGCCAATCAGAAACTAGTCAGGGGAGGCCTCTGCTCCCAGGATGTAGCACCCTCTCGGCAAAAAGGAGCCGGTGGCTCACACATGTAATCTTAGCTACTTGGGAGGCTGAGATCAGGAAGACTGTGGTTCAAGGCCAGCCTGGAGCAAAAAGTTCGCAAGACTCCATTTCAACAGAAAAAAGGTGGGCCTGTTGCTCACACCTGTCATCCCAAGCTACTTGTAAGGCCGAGACCTGTAGGATCTCAGTTCCATGCCAGAAACCCCAACAGCTGGGTGTGGTGGCGTGCATCTGTCACCTCAGAGATGGCAGAAAGTGTAAAAACAGGAGGACTGCCATCCTGGCAAAAAGCAAGAGCCTATTTCCAAATAGGCAAAAAGAGCTGAAGGCAGGGTTCAAGCTGTAGAGTGCCTGCCCAGCAAGTGTGAAGCCCTGAGTTAAAACCCCAGTACTGCCAAAAAAAAAAAAAAAAAGACACTAGTGTCTTCCTGCAGCTTCACTGAGGCAGGGACACAGACATCCCGAAGTTTCTTCTGTGGTACTGGAGGTGTCCATGTGACTCACACAAGAGGAAAGAACTATGGGGAAGAAAAAGAAGAGTCCTTCCATTTCAGCAAACGACGGTGCTAAGAAATACAGGTACTGTTCCATATCATTATTTTCCTGATTAAATCTGTCCAAAAAGAGCCACAGTCATAACCTAATTATTTTTCCAGCAGAGACATTTCTAAAAAACTAAAACAAGTATAGTTGAAGTGCACGGTGTCTGCCCATCAATCACAACGATTTCATAGTGAATTCTAACATAGACAATCATCCTGCTAACATAGATTTTGACCTTTTTAACTAGAAAAATATTAGCATGCTGAATATCCAAATACAGAAGTACATAAGATAAAAAGTAATACCATTTTGTCTACCTTTCCCAGTAAACCATGTGGTTCTTCTTCCAGGCTTTTCTATGTGTGTATAAACTTACGGTATTGTGACAGAACTGCATTTTGTTTGTTTGTTTGTTTTTCTGGTACTGAGGTTTGAACTCAGGGCCTACACCTGAGATACTACACCTGCCCCTTTTTTTGTGATGGAATTTTTCAAGATAGGGTCTCACAATCTATTTGCCTGGGCTGGCTTTGAACTGTGATCCTCCTGATCTCTTGCCTCCTGAGTAGCTAGGATTATATGTACACTTAATGCAGATAAAACATAGTGTGTAAGTCATAGTGCAATAAAGCTATTTAAAATTACAGGGGAACCTATCACATTATACCAAGCCTTTTCATCCTCAGCAGCACTGACACACTGAGCCAGACTGGTCTTTGCCTTATAAAAGGCCTTTCTGTGCACTGTGGGGAGCTCTGCAGTCCACCCATCAGATGTCAGTAGTAGTGGTTCCTCCCCACAGGTGTGACAACTACAAATGTTTCCAGTCCCAGCCACATGACCTTGGGGAGCAAAGCCATCCCAGCTAAAACCACTGGTTTAGACCGAATAGTCTATAATTTGCACTTCTCACTCAATACCTTGTGCACACCCTGTCACCTAGTGCTCCTGGCACGCCACTGTATGGCTGTCCCATAAAAATCTTGGACAATGATGTTCCCATTTTTTTTTATTACTACCATAAATGTTGCAATAAACTGCCTCATGCAGAGATCTTTTTAATGCTGTCATGAGATGCTCTGTGACAGCTTCAGTAAACAAGAAATCCTTCCCTAAAGGATGGTCACATCCTACAGGATGTCATGTGACATCAG